CTGGGGAGTCACAGGGGAGAGAAATAATATCCAGCTGAGAGCATAAAAAAAGCTTGTGGAAAAGGTAGTATTTGATGGCCAGAGACAATTTCTTGCTCTGTTATGCTTGGAGTGTTATATTTTTTAAAATATCTTGCTCTTTTCTGATTATATAAAAAATACTCACTATGGAAAACTTATACAATACATAAAAGTATTTAGGATAAAAATTATACTAAATTAATTATCCCACCAAATGTTAAATATTAGTATTTTGAAGTATTTATTTCAGTCTTTCTCTGCATATGTTTATTACTTTTATTCTTAAGCATAGTAATGAAACAAACCATTTGACATTAGCTTTTGACGTATTTTTGTATCTTGCTCTCTGGTTTGGCCTCACATATGAAGAGAGCCCTCAAATGCTATTAAGGACCACTTGTAAACATTATTTTAATGGTTGCATAATTTATTTAAACTTTTTGTTTTGGGAAGTATTTTTGCTGTTTCTAGGTTTTTTTAATTAAAAATAATGTGTCATGATGATTCTTTTAAAAAAAATAAATTGTATGCGTGTAATCATTTTCCTTGATTAAATTTCTAGAAGTGGAATTATTTGGTCAAAAAGTCTAAACATTTTTAAAGCTGTTGATAGTGTCAAATAAAAAACTGACTTGGCCTTAGGTAAGGAGAGACTTTATTCAAAAGGATTATTTCGATTAGAGGAAGGGGATTACTGCAATGGGAAGAAGGCTCTGAGATCTATGAGATCCTTGAGACCAGGACATCTGCAGCTCAGAGGTCTGGCAGAAATGGGCTTTCTTTTATAGGGAGATGTAAATAAGGCTAGAAAGAACCAGGTGTAGGGGAGGAGATGAGTGGCAGGCATGAAGGGACAGAGGACCAGGGAATGCCTTTCCCTGAGGTCAACCAGTTCTCCAGAGGGGCCATTAAGGAGAGGTTGTTCCATGTCCCAATGCCCAATGACCCAAAGTTGAGGGGCCTGAACAAAGGAGAGAAACCTTACTAAAGTTTGGCCGAGTCAAGTTAGCTGTCATTTTGTTCAGATCAAACTTTTCAACAAACATATCAGCTAATGTTTATGAGACAGAAAAAGTGGGAATTTAGAAGGTCCTTGTCTGGCCCTGTCGTAGGCTAACAAGAAAGTTTTAAGTCATAAAAGGAACAGTGATTTTTTGCAGCAAGCCAAGCATTTCCCAGAACAAAAGGATGGCAGGATTTCTTAAGTGCTTTTCCAGGAACACAGGGCTCAGATAACGTTCAACATCACTAATAAATATTGCTGAATTGCCCTCCAAAAAATCCACAATCCTACTAGCAATATTTGAGAATGCCTGAAATACTGCAGATAGGTAGGATTTTGATTCATCAGTATGAAACACAAAGTGTTCCACACAGGGAAAGATAATATGGAAAAAGACAAAGAAACAGGGAAACTACAGGCTATGTATAGACAACAGCATACTGTGTGCAGTCTGCCTGTAATGAATTGCTCATGGAGGGCTAAGGCACATAAGGCTAGAAGTGGGGGACAGAAGAAATGTCACAGGCTTTTGATGCCAAGGTGAGGCCTGCACTTAAATTAGCAGCTAAGGAGTCACTGTTAATTTGTGATCAATGGTTTGATGTAATCAGAGCAATGTTTTAGGAAAATCAATCTGTTGAAAACTGGGGGTTTTTGAGGGGTTGACATTTTCCTTCTTTTGGAGATAAGGATTGATTATGTGAACCTTATAAAAAATACTAGAGAAAATTATCTCTAAATATGTTGGGTTTACTTGGGAATAGAAAAAAGGATTATAACTGGAATGCACAGAATGACAAACCACTAGTGCATTAAGTAAGGGAAGGGTAAGGAGAGCTTTTATTATCAAAAAGGTTTACATAAGTTGCTTAGAAACAGAGGTTATTGGTTCCAGAGGTTCAAAGCCAGAGCTGTTGTCAGTTCCTTGATGGAGACTCCTTCACTGGGCAAGTGTTCTTCAGAGAAGTCTTATCTGAATTACAGGGTCCTAAGGAATGTCTAGTGATAAAACCTTATCAAAGCAGAAGATGTGTGAATGACATGAGAGGGTTTTTAGAAAGTCCTTGGAAACAGTTCTTATCTCAGACATGGGATCATAAGCCTTCTCATTTTGGGGGCTTCCTACCCCTATTTTGTCTGGATCTAACAAAAGTGATTTCATCTTGGTATCTGCAACTTTCACAGTTAGCTAATGCTGATTATACACCCCCCATTTCTTCTCCAAATGTTTTCAGGACCCATGCAAGGTAAAGAAGCATGACTTCTGCTTGGATGGTAAGTGTTAACCCAGTGAAATGGACATAGTAACATCCTGCATTTGTATACTGCCTTACGACTACTCCCTACCCTCACTTCCCCTGCATCAACACAACAAAAACACATTCACATCGTCACTCATCTTGACTCTTTGGTGTCACAGCAATATTGTGAAGTAGAAAAAAAAGACCCTCCCCTGCTGGTGTAGGTGAGTTACTTTGGGTAAGTTACTTAATGTCTGTGCCTGAGTTTCCTCATTTGTAAAACTGGGGTGTCTATTAGCATGTAGCTTAAAGCGTTGTTATAAGGAATAAACTAATTACTGCATGTTTTAATTATCTACCAATACATAATGATCACAAACTAGCAGCTTAAAATAACACACATTCATTATTTCATGGTTTTCTGCAGGTCAGGAGTCCAGTCCAGGCGTGGCTTAGCTAGAACATTTGCTTCAGAGAATCTCCCAGGGCTGCCATCAAAGTGTAGACCAAGGCTGGGTCATCTGAAAGCTCGACTGGGGAAGGATCTGCTTCCACACTACCTAAGGCTGCTGGCAGAGTTCAGTTCCTTGAGGGTTGTTAGACTGAGGGACTCAGTTCCTTGCTGGCTGTTGTCTAAGAGCTGCCCTCAGCTCTTTAGTCATGTAGGCTTGTCCAAAGGACTGCTTACTTCATCAAAGCATACAAGCTGAGAAGGCAATATAGAAAGTCTGCTAGCAAGACAACGGATACAGTCACTGAACTTAACCATGGAAGTGGCATCCTATCACCCTGTGGCATTCTATTGGTAGCAGCAAGTCACTAGGCCAGCCCACATTCAAGTTTCACAATGGCATGAATTCCAGGAGGAAGGGGTCATTTAGGGCCTTCTTAGGGTCAGTCTGCCACAGAACATAATGAGAAGCCAGAAAGAGTACCCTTATCAAGAACTGCATCTGCTGGTACCTTGATTTTGGACTTTCCAGCCTTCAGAACCGTGAGAAATAAATATCTATTTAAGCCACCCAGTCTATGGTGATTTGTTATAGCAGCTGAACAGACTGAGACATTCCCCCATTGGCTTTTTGCCTAATGTTTTTAGCAGCCATTTATGATTATAGCTTAAATCTACTATTTCATTGGGAGTTGCAAAATAGTGAACATGTTAAAGAAAGACATTCTTTCATTAACTGTTTGGTTATCCTGAAATACTATTCATATGAGAGACAAGATAAATGTTTGATTTTTAGAATAACAAGTTGGTGCCTCTTGAATAGTGGGGTAAGGAGGAACAAGAAAGAGACACAATTCAGCCTGTAAGAAAGTATGTGTCCCATGCAGGAAGGAAGGATCTGAGAGTCACGTGAGATTTCCCAGACCTGTCTCTACCTTGTCCGAGCCTTTGGATGACCCATATCTTTATAAGTAAAGCTTGATGCTAGGTAAGATCTCTGATTCATGTGAATCTGATCCTGGGTGTTAGCTCAAGCTTAAGCTATATCTGTACTATACGGACGAAATGTTTTTTTTGTTTGTTTGTTTGTTTTTGAGACAGAGTTTCACTCTGTTGCCTGGGCTGGAGTGCCCTGGTGTCAGCCTAGCTCGCAACAACCTCAAACTCCTGGGCTCAAGCGATCCTCCTGCCTCAGCCTCCAGGGTAGCTGGGACTACAGGCACACACCACCACACCCAGCTAATTTTTATATTTTTAGCAGAGACGGGTCTCTCACCCTTGCTCAGGCTAGTCTCCAGCTCCTGACCTCAAGCGATACTCCCACCTCGGCCTCCCAGAGTGCTAGGATTACAGGCATGAGCCACCATGCCCGCGACCTGGATGAAATATTAATGTATCAATCTGGATATCTGCTATATCATTCTTTGTAATTTTCTCTAAGTTTCTCAGAATAAAAACAAAAGAGATGGGGGTAAGGAAACTTATACATGAACAAAGGTAGGAACCAGAGATAGAGACAGGCAAGGGGGACATCAGAGATGGAGGAAAAGAGAAGGTCCCTGCCTCTAGTGGGAGGCAACTCCTCATAAGGAAAGCCAAAAGACACCTGAAGTAATTCTAAAACTCACCAAGTCTTGCCTAAAAGATCTTGCTTACAATTGTGCCAAGTTTCGCTTTTGATTTTATCATCTGCCTCAAAATACATAAACCCACCAACACTAAGGATTAGTGCAGAGATTTCTCTGGCACCCACTTCTGGCTCGGTTCAAATTCTTAGAGACGTCAAAAATTATGCTAGGCCACCTACACACACACTATACCTAGAAGAGAGAAAGTGATTTGTAAAAGTAGTGGGACTATTTGAGATTATTTTATTGTATTTTTTAAAAAGATCGTGTATTAAAGTTGAAAACTGGAAATCGTTAATTATTCATAGACACGTCAGATGGCAAATCGAAAAAGATTTCTAACGCTCTCATTTAGCTCTCATGAGCATCAGCTACACCCTTTCAAGTTGTTCTAAGTTTCCCTAGTGTAGCTGGAACTTCTTCTTCTTTTTTTTTTTTAGATATATATATAACCCACAAAGTTTGTAACTCAATACGAACGCAGCTAGGAGGGATCCCAAACCGCTTCTGGATGAAATTATAGGGTAGCTAGCTAAGAAGTAGGGGCAATGAACGAGACAACCTGCAACATATGGAAAGAAATGCCTTTGCATTATTTTTACGTATTTATGTACTAATACTTTCATTTCTCTAGGGTCGGGCAGGAGAAGGGGCTCAAATGGCACAAGGGCTGGGGATCGCCATGGTGAGAATCAAAGCGTCTTGACAGGGCAGAGAATCAAAGCGTCTTGACAGGTTGATCCCAAGATCAACCCCTGCAATGTATGACTTGAAGGCCAGAGGAAAAGGAAAGCAGCTGACGGACTTGGCAACCGGCGACCAGCCTCGCAGTCAGCTGCACCCAGAGGGAGACCGCAGGAAAGCGCGCCAGTGCGCAGACTCCGCGGGCGCGCGCAGGCGCACGAGGAAGGGAGTGCGCCGGCAGGAGCGCCGGGACCTGCATAGGGTTCTGGCAGGCAGGCGGTTGCCGGGGCAGTGGGCACCTCGGTCTCGTTTTTCAGATGCGGCTGGAAGCCGCTATGGCGCTGAGGGGCATCTGCGTCTTGGAGCTGGCCGGCCTGGCCCCGGGCCCGTTCTGCGGTATGATCCTGGCTGACTTCGGGGCGCAGGTGGTGCGCGTGGACCGGCCCGGCGCGAGCGGCGACGTGAGCCACTTGTCCCGCGGCAAGCGCTCGCTGGTGCTGGACCTGAAGCGGCCGCGGGGCGCGGCAGTGCTGCGGCGCATGTGCGCCCGGGCGGACGTGCTGCTGGAGCCCTTCCGCAGCGGTGAGCCCCGGGCCCGACGCGGGCTGGAGGCGGGCTGGACGCGGGGAAGCTTCCCGCGGAAGAGAGGGAGCCTGGCCGTTTCACTGAGGCTGCGCCTGCCACACCTTTGCCCTGTTGCCACATAAACCCTTGTCCGTCCTGGCCTTTCTGGATCTTTCTGTCTCATTTGATATTGTTTGTGATCATTCGTCCCTTGAGATGATTCTCCAGAACGGGTTCTGAGATACTGCTGCTGCTATTTTCTTTTTGCCTCTCTGACTTCTTCCCAAGTCCCTCCATTTTTCTAAGAACCTTTCTGTATTTGCCTTTCTTAATTATTTGAGGGTCTTCAGCCCTGTGAGAATCTATTGAGAGCCATAGATTCTCTCTCCGGAAGGCTGCACATAGGTACATAGCCATTTAGCAATTATTTGGGGGTGGTGTCCCTTCTCAAACCACCCGCGGAGCCAGGCTAACGCTCCCTGCCTTGAATGCTGGTGTTCCCAAGTTTCAGCATCAGCTCATTTCTCTACTTTGCGCTTCGCTCCCTGGAGCCACCTTATCCATTCCCTTTGTTTTCACTTTTTATAGACAGGTGATGCTCAAATCTGTAACTGTGCCCCGCTCTTTCAGAGCCGCAGACTGCTGGCATCCACAGGTCCTGGACAGTGCCATCCGGCCCTCCCCCAGGCAACTTCCACACATCCCAAACCTGGCCTTTCCTCTTTCCCCCTTAAAGTGACATCTCCTCCTGCTGCATAATTTATCTCAGTGAATGGAACCAATATCCACCTACTTGCCTGAAACAGAAGCCTATACTTCATCCTTGACTCCAATTTTCCTTTCACCCCACCTGATTTTGGTGATCATTAATCCAGTCATTCTTTCTTACCAGACTTGGGATTCTTTCTTTCCATACCTGCTAAATCTGCCTTGGCAGTAGTGTGACGACATTGTAAAAACTGGTGTTTGGGTTTAGTATCGCTCCAGTTCTTTCTCAGACAGCTGCCAGTGTTGCTCAAGTACAAATCTAAAGCATTGCCTGGTCTATAGCAGGAAGTCAATAAATGTCCAGTGAATGAATTGAATGTCTGCTCTGAAATGCCAGGCTTGTTGAACTGTATTAACTCATCTAACCTTCACAACCGTATTTGAAGATTGTAACAATAATAATTTAATAATTAGGATTATATCGTGATTTAACGATGCCCTGTTTGAAGAAGAAGGAGGCTCAGCATGGTTAAACAATTTGTCCAAGATTTTGTAATTAGGAGGAAGGTAGAGCTGTGAGTAAGGATATAACCTCCAGGTAAGGTGTTGTAGCTGGTGTTTATGTAGGTGGGTTCTTGTGATTTATTATAGCCTTAGAAAGATGATGACAGTTTATTATGTAATCTTGATTACTTTTAATGCCAGGAGACTTTAGGTGCGAGTTATCTGGGTGTTTTGCAAATAAATGACCAAGTGCTTGTTAATAGCTTACAAGCTCTCAGGTGCTGTTGTAGCTAACCTTTCCAAGGACATGTACTGAGCCTTTTTCAGGAAGGTACTGATGCTAGGTAGTTAGGGGCCTGTGTGCTGGAGGAGCTCCTGAGCTGATAGGGAAGATGGGTACACGCATATGTAAACACAGTGCGAGGTAGGAGGTGGTAGGCACTGATGCGGACATAGGGAAAAAAGCCACTGACTAAAGGGATGAGATGGCTGCTTAGGGGATTGAGTGGGTTTGGCATACCTAGAGGGAAATAGGGAAGTGCCAGAAGAAATAACATCCTGAAGCTACACTTCCCAGAAATGGTGATTTTTCTCTTTCGCTCCTTAACTGCTGGAAACATGCTATCAGCCCATAACCAATGTTGTTATTATAATAGTATTATTTGCAAGAGTGCTATTTTATGTTCTAGAAAGAAATTATCCCCATCCTCAATTCATCTCTTAAAATCGTTACTTTTCTCTTAGGTGTCATGGAGCAACTCAAGCTCGGCCCAGAGATTCTGCAGGGGGAGAATCCAAAGCTTATCTATGCCAGGCTGAGTGGATTTGGCCAGTCAGGAAGATTTTCCAGGGTAGCTGGCCATGATATCAACTATTTGGCTTTGTCAGGTATGTTGAAAGAAAAAATAATTTTTCTATGCTTTTTATTTGTTCCTAGTCAGGATTTACAGGTACAGTGATTAACAAAAATTTTTAAAGGCGAAGATTTAAATATTTATCAGAATCAATAAGGAGAACATGGTTGTTTAAAATGGGTTGGTTTGGGTCTTGGAACAATCATTCTCAACCTCCCCCCTCCCCTATCTTAACATATTTGGAAGATAATAAATTCTTACTAGTAGCATTTATTTACTACATTTGTGGAGTCAATTCTCAGACAAGGCCCTGGGGGAATTAAGAGACTTAGTGGTAGTAGGGATGGTTCCTTTGGAGTTTGAAAACATGGATATAGTTTCACTCTGACAGCCTCCTACCACCACCTCCATTGAGAAACGTTGCCCGAGTCATCATTTCACACTTCTATGAATACTAGAAAAAGCCCGTAGTTTTGAGGTCCTGATATCACTTTATTAGAATTTTTGCCTGTGAGAATGGCCTGATTCTAGAATTCTAAGAACTGTGTGTTGTTGACTAAAGGAAATCTCAGATTTTCTGTGAGTTACACATTTAAAGGCTGAGGAAAGCATTGGGTCTAGAATTGGCTTTTCACATCTATTTTAAAATTTAATCCCTTTTCTTTTTCTTACGTATGATTATTTTCTTGCATCTGTTCCCAATGAGAATGAAAGTGCATTATACTGTTTTCAAGCCACAATATAAATTAACAATAAATATTTTTTTCCCAAAACTCAGTAAGTAAAAACTTGGCAATAAGATTTTGAAAATGTCACTTGGAATAAGGTTTTAGAGAGGCATAAACCAGCAAAATAAGGAGCCTGTCTTGTGCGAAAGCCTATTTATAAGTTTGCTGAATAGATTCAGATTTGGAAAAGTGTTACGTACTGGTTTTCACTTAGGTCAGTGACTAGAGAGACTGGTTATTCCTCTAAAGTGTTCATGTATTTATTTAAAAGAGACATTAAATTTGAAAGAGACAGATTTATTTTTAATGATGTAGGTGTTCTATCCAAAATTGGCAGAAGTGGTGAGAATCCGTATCCGCCGTTGAATCTCCTGGCTGACTTTGGTGGCGGTGGCCTCATGTGCGCGTTGGGCATTATGATGGCTCTTTTTGAACGCACACGCTCTGGCAAAGGTCAGGTCATTGATGCGAATATGGTGAGTATTAATTGGGGGAAATGATAGGCCTGCCACTTATTCCTAAGTACAATGTATGGTTGCCTCAAGTCTCTTTTTAAACAAGAGATAAATGAAATTTGAAGTTTGAATCCAAGTTACCAACAATGTCCTTTTCTTTAAAATAGCCTCATATCCTTTAATATATGTCAGAATGTCATATTTTGATAATCTGTTTGTGGAGTCATTTCTCAAAATTTTTTGTGACTTACCTGATTCCTATATTGTATTATACTGTACTTTCCCCAAGTTATTTCTTGTGCTTAGAACACAGTTTTGAAGCAATCCTCATTTAAAACTGAGTTCAAGAAGTCTCCCTTAGTAGGTAGAGAACGTTCTCGAGGATGCCGATGTGAAATGGACCTTCCTGTCTAGACCTTCCTGCTGCATTTTGTAGGGGATGGTCCGATACCACAATGCTTCTGTTTGTTCACCGTCATACATCAGGTGCTTGCCTCATGCTCTGCTGAGCTCTTGCCTTGTGCGATTTCTTCTAATCCTTGCAACAACAGCTTCATTTGGAATCCATTATTATTTTAAAGAGGAGGAAACTGAAGCATAGTCATTTGCCCAAGGTCTCACAGCTAGTTGGTAAGAGAGGCCAATCCAGTACCACTACTTGTTTGCATTGTCACAGACATTGGGGGTGGGATGGAGAGTGGATTTGAGGGAGATGAGGCTGGGGGCAGAGCAACCAGTTATTGAATTATTGTTGAAGAGATCAGAGCAGTATTAAAGCAGTTAATGGTAGGGTTGGTTTGGATTTAAGGGATATTTGAGCTGTAAAATTGCTGGGAATTGGTGATGGAATGGCAGGGAAGGAAGCGGAAGGAATTGGGGCTGGTGCCCATATTTCTGGCTTGGATGACCTGGTTGGTGGGTGTCGCTGGCACGTGGCAGGAAGACTACTGCAGGACGAGGCAGTGTGGAGCAGTGGTCACGAGCACAGACTGGCAGCCGGCTGCCTCCATCCCAGCCATGCCAGTTACCAGCGCTGTGATCTTGGGTAAGTTACCAAACCTCTCTGTGCCTCAGTTTCTATTATAAAATGGAGATAATGGCATCTACCTCGTAGCCTTGTTAGAAAATTGAGTTCATCCGTTGTCCAGTGTGTAAACAGTGCCTGGCATAGAGCAGGCATTCTGTACGAGTTTGTCATTGTGATTGTTTTCACTAGAAGAAAGGGAATTCAGTTTTGATCATTTTAAATTTGACGTACCTTTCATATATCTGGGTGGAATCCTTGAGGTTAGGGATTGGAAATAGATTTTGGAGTCATATGGGGAGTAATTTGAGAGCCACGTGAGACTGTGTGGCCCACTAGGGAAGGGGACAGAACACTTGTGTTTAAGGTGCACTGGGCAAGGAAGAGAAGCAGAGACTGAGGAGAGTGAAGTAGATAACCAGAAGGGAGTGTTGTCCTGGAAACCAAGGAAAAGAAATGGGCAGAGGGTCAAATGTTGGGGGATACCTCAAGAGTTTAAAGACTGAGGTATCAGTTGAATCGGGTCATTGGTGAGCTTTGCAAAATTCATTTACCAGAGTGTCCTCATCTCCGAAGCCTTGATTCCCTGTTCCCTTCTCCTCGTGGGTGAATCACGCCTAACCCTATACTGAGTCTGTGCCTTGGGTACTGTCGTCAGGGCACATCTCACATTGCCCTTTGTGCCCCCTTATGAAGTGTATTTCAGTAGTAGTAGAATGTGATTTATCCTGTATGTCCAGCTCCTGGCGCAGTCCTGGCACAGTGTCAGTGTGAGATAGCAGCAGAGCAGCACTGGCTTTACACCACCCCCTGCCGAGCTCAGGGCCGGGTGCCTTCCGTGTGGTGTCCCTCCTCCCACCCACACAACTTCCTGAGGGAGATACACTCACTGTCATGTGGCGTTGAAGACTTTACAGCTCAGAAAGGTCAACTGCCTTCTTCTAAAGCAGGTGGAGGGCTGGGCATGGTGGCTCACACCTGTAATCCCAGCACTTTGGGAGGCTGAGATGGGAGGATCACTTGAGGTCAGGAGTTCGAGGTTGCAGTGAGCTATGTTTGTGCCACTGCTTTCCAGCCTGGGCAACAGAGCCAGACCCTGTCTCTAAGAAAAAATAAATAAAAAAAGAAAGCAGGTGGTGGAAAGGGTCAGAAGCACTGCCCCCAGGCAGTTTGACCCTAAAGCTCCAACTTTCAATCACTTCCCTCTATTTCTTCCAGTGGGCACAGTCCCTGGAGTCCAGAAGGAATGAACTGAGAGCAAACTTTGTGTCAAGGAGAATTTAAGGCTAAATACTTATCTAGTAATAATTTGAATAATTTACTAAATACATGCAATTGATTATTTATAGTCAAATATAAATAGAAGGTGATTGCTGCTTTCATCAGAACATACCTAATCAGAATTGAATAATGTGTAACCTAAACATCTGTACCCCCATAATATGCGGAAATAAAAAAAAAAGAATTACATAATGATTAGGAGATAGTAAGGTGTTAGCATATTTGAAACTTTCTTCAGGTTCATGTTGGCTGATTAAGGCCAAACTTATCAGTAAATTGTATTAATTACTTCTTCATCACTGGGAACCTTTATGACACAGTTGTAAAAGCCGATTAGGGGGAGGTGGATACTTTCTTATAGGCCAGTAGTTTTCACAAATCCTTGGCAGCAGAATCCTTGACCCAGGCCTGCTTGTGAAGACTTTTCATAGTGCTGTTTCCTTGGAAACCGTAGTTAAGATAATTGCGGGATGTGGGGTCCATTAGCTGTACTCACCCCTGATCTAGGGGAGCGCAGCTGACCTGGGGGCGCTGAGAGCTGGACTGCCGGGTGCTGGCCTACATGATGGAACAGTTTCCAAGGTTGGTGGGGAATTGAGGCTGCAGTTTCCCTGCATCAGGGGACTCTGGTCTGTGGCAGCATTCAGGGTGTGTGGGTGAGGGGCCAAGAGAAGCCACGTGCATGGGTAGCTACCGCCAGGCCTCACGATGAGATGAGGATTGTTTCTGCTATCTCTTGTCCTATACCTTTCTGTGACGCTAAGTAAAGATAGGATTTGATCACAGCCTGGTTTTGTCCTGAGAGGGCCAAACTAGACCTGTAACTGTTAGTGCCCCTGTATGTCATCAGGACATCCAGCGTGTAAAAGAGGTTAAAGGAGTATTTTATTAGCATAAATCTATTTTATATTCTGTTTACATATTCAATGTTTATATATTGTGCTGTCAGACTAGTGAAGCTGTTTTGATGAACACAAACACTTGAAGTTAGGGCTTATGGGTGATGTTCTCATCACTTTCTAAGTATTCGGTTTGTTACTACATTTTGTTGGACCCAATGTTAGGAAAATCCCAAGTCACAGGGATTAGTTAGAAGTATCTATAGTTTTTAAGTAGCTTGCTTCAAATTTCAGATTATATTTCATTTATGATGAAGCAGAAGAGGAATGTCTTATTTCACTACAGTATCTAAAAACTTCTTACATTTTTGGCCTGAATACAAAAGTCCGATAAGCAGTATTCAGAACTCTCTGTCAAAGCTCTCTCTAATATGACAACCTGACTTGCTTCAAGTTTGTTTGTTATTTCCCCATTGATTATGAGGCTTTGACGAGGGTAAGGCCTGAACCGAAAGCAGGTACTCGCATATGATAGATACTAAATTATTGGGTTTTGTGTGAGCAGGCCCAAATTAATAGGGAAAAAGACATATGCAGAGCAAAAGTTTTCCTTCATTGTGTTTCAAAGGCAAGGTCAAATTCATGCAAAATTGGAAAGAGAAGCTAGTAATAAATAAGTTGAGGCTGTGATGTGTTAGAATTTGGTATAGGACACATCTAAATATATAGTTAGCGTTAGACATAAGCATCAGAAAGCATCAAATATATTTAAAATAGTATACATATGTATGCATATGTATATGTGTGTGTATATAAATGTGGAATGCTCTAAGATCTGTGTAACCCAGTCTTAAAAAAAAAGCACTGCCATAGGCCACTTATGTGAACTCAACTTTGGTGATGACAGAGATCACAGCCATAAATTCAGGTGTGCATGAGATTTCAAGTTGAAGGGAAGATTGGAATGTATCCAAAGATATATTTTATGGTTGTTTTATAGCAAGTAACTGAGAAATTTCAAGCTAGCAGTTGGAACGGCGCCCCCCCTGTTGGTAACCTCTGAGACAAGGATGCTTTGATGGCCTTCTCCCTGGGGTACTGGAATCATTAGATCGTAAAAGCCATAAAGATCGGGACGTCTTCTTTAGGTAGCCCAGTGCGTCCAGCCTTGGAGTTTGAGCCTTGTGATAATCGTACCTGAGCGTGCGGATTTACTCCTGTTGGTTCAGGACTCCCTGGGAAGGTGACTTGCCCAAACTAGTTTGTCGGGACTCAGAAAACCTGTACACCTGCCACCCATATTGCTAAATTTATTTCGTAACTTTCTAGTGATTATTAAAAATGAGGTATGTTAAATACTCAAATACGATTTTCTCGGGGTTAGAGTCAAGCTAGAATAAGCTAAATTTAACTGTAATGTGATATGTGATATGCTTCATATATCTGTGTGTATGTGTTTATAGGTATTGAGATCAGAAGATGGATTTTTCAAAACCTTTTTGCTTTATTTTTAACTTTTTATCCTGGTAGTTTTTAACATATATGAAAGTAGAGAATAATGAACTTCTAAGTACTCTCACTTAGCCAATCTTATTTGAAAGGGAGGACAAAATAAATTCCTTCTAAGTCTTATAGAAGGCTGAATAGAGCAGCCAATTGTTATTCTGCCATAAAGTCACTCTAACTCGCTTTCTAGAAATATCAAAGAAGTTGTATAATTAGATATAATCTTCATATACTCCAAAATAAGCATTTTTACACAAATATTTTTTAAAGACCCAAAGAAGAATTAATCATGCTTTTACACATGAATTATTTTGATTCATATTATATTTTGCTTCTTCAAAGGTGGAAGGAACAGCATATCTAAGTTCTTTTCTGTGGAAAACTCAAGAATTGTGGACACAACCTCGAGGACAGAACATATTGGATGGGGGAGCACCTTTCTACACGACTTATAAGACAGCGGACGGGGAATTCATGGCTGTGGGAGCGATAGAACCCCAGTTCTACCAGCTGTTGCTCAAAGGTGGGTAACGTTGCTGTGGGTTCTTTGGCCTCTATTTGGAGGCCTTTTAAAATCCATGCTGTCTTCTATCATATATCCACTTTCTAATTAACCTAATTCTAGCCATCAATATATTATGGGGCATTTGCCCCATCTTTTAAATTGACAGGTAATTTTACTAATCTATAAAACAGCTGAGAGTTTTGAAAAATAATAATGCCTTTTGTGTGGGATATTTAGTACTTTTATTACATTTCACCTTATAGTATTGAATGCTTTGTTCTCTTCTTGCTTTTTTGTTTTTTGTTTTTTTGTTTTTGAGACAGATTCTCACTTTGTCACCCTGGCTAGAATGCAGTGGCATTATTGTCGCTCACTGCAAGTTCCAGCTCCTGGGCTCAAGCAATCCTCTTGCCTCAGCCTCCCGAGTAGCTGGAACTATAGGCGTGTGCCACCACGCCTGGTTACTTTTTATATTTTTAGTAGAGGTGGGGTCTCACTCTTGCTGAGACTGGTCTTGGACTCCTGAGCTCAAGCAATCCTCCCACCTCGGCCTCCCAGAGTGCTAGGATTACAGGTGTGAGCCACCATGCCTGTCCTACTTTTCTTTTTAATGATTGTCTTGGCTATTCAGGGACCCCTGCATCTGTATGAATTTTAGGGTCAGCTTGCCTGTTTCTGCACAAAAGGCTGCTGGCATTTTGATAGGGGATGTGTTCAATCTGTACATCAATCCTGAGGAGTATTACTGTCTTAAGAATATTAAGCCGGCCGGGCACGGTGGCTCACGCCTGTAATCCTAGCTCTCTGGGAGGCCGAGGTGGGCGGATTGTTTGAGCTCAGGAGTTCGAGACCAGCCTGAGCAAGAGTGAGACCCCGCCTCTACTAAAATTAGAAAGAAATTAATCGACCAACTAAAAATATATAGAAAAAATTAGCCGGGCATGGTGGCGCATGCCTGTAGTCCCAGCTACTCGGGAGGCTGAGGCAGGAGGATCGCTTGAGCCCAGGAGTTTGAGGTTGCTGTGAGCTAGGATGACGCCACAGCACTCACTCTAGCCCGGGCAAAAAGAGTGAGACTCTTGTCTCAAAAAAAAAAAAAAAAAAGAATATTAAGCCTTCCCAGGAGGATTATTTGAGCTCAGAAATTGGAGATGAGCCTGAGCAACATAGCAAGGCTCCTCTGTAAAAAAAAGAAAAGAAAAGAAAAGAAAAAAGTATATATAAAGCCTTCCAGTCTATGAACATGGGTTACTTTCCATTAATTAATTAATTAAGCTTTAGAGACAAGGTTTCTCTCTGTTGTCAAACTCCTGGGCACAAGTGATCTTCCCACCTCAGTCTCCTGAGTAGCTGGGACTACAGGTGTGTGTATGGAGATGGGATCTCACTGTGTTGTTCAGGCTAGTCTCAAACTCTTGGCCTCAAGTGATTCCTCCTACCTCAGCCTCCCAAAGTACTGGTATTATAGGCATGAGCCACTGCACCTGATCAAATTTAGGTCTTCTTTAACTTCTTTCAGTGATACTTTGTAATTTTCGGTGTACAAGCACTACACATTTTTGGTTAAATTTATTCTGAAGAATAGTATTCTTTTTTGTGTTACTGTCAATGGAAACATTTTCAGATGTTCATTACTGGTGTGTGGAAATGCAGTTGTTTTTCGTGTATCGATTTTGTGTCCTGCAACCTTACTGAGCTTGTTTATTAGTTCTAGGTATGGATCTTTGAGTTTATCTTACTTGAGTTCCTTGAGCTTTTGGGATGTGTAGATGAATGTTTTTCATCGAATTTGAGAATTTTCAGATATTCTTTCTTTAAGGATTCTTTCTGTCCTTTTTTTCCTCTCCTTTTGAGACTCCCTTAATACATATTTTGGTATATTTGATGGTGTCTCACAAGTCTCTGAGGCTCTGTTCAGTTTTCTTTTACTTCCCCAGACTAGATAATCTCAATTGCTCTCTCTCTCTCTGATTCTTTCTCCTGCCAGTTCACATCTGCTGTTGAGATATTCCCCTATAGTAAATTTTTTGTTATTGTTATTTTCAATTCTAAAGTTTCTATGTGGTTCTTTTTAAAAATTATTTCTATCTCTTTACTGATATTCCCTATTGATGAGACATTGTTCTTATCCTTTCTTTTAATTCTTTAGATATGATTTCCTTCAGTGTTTGAACATATTGAAAATAGCTGATTTAAAGTCTTTGTCTACTAAGTCTGACATCTGGCTTCCTTAGGGACAATTTCTGTTGATTCCTTTTATGTGTGTGTGTGAATCATACTTTCCTACTTCTTTGCGTGCCTCAATTTTTTTGCTGAAACTGAACATTTTAAATAATTTAATGTGCCAACTCTGAAAATCAGGTCTCCCCTTTCCTCCGTTGGACTCCCTGGTCCTAGATTTTTGTTGCTGTTTGTTTGCTTGATGACTTTCTTGTATTAAGTCTGTATTCTTTGGCACATGCAGCCACCAGAGTCAGCTCAGTTAGCTTAGTGGTTGGCTAATGATGGGACAGAAATGTCCTTAGATGCCTTGAACCAGTAAATCTCCCATCGTTTTCTGAAGCATTCTGTGTCTTAACTTCTAGCTTGCGAAGAGCCTCAAGGCCAGGCAGAGGTAAGACACGAGGGCTTCTCAGCTCCCTCCTGATGTTCAGGCAGCCTTGCACGCGTGTATGTGCGCAGCCCTCTCAGGAATTCTTAATACTTTCTCAGGAATATGTTGGCACTTTTCAAAGCCCCCTGTAGATATCCTATTCCCCAGTTTTTTCAGCTTCTCATTAACCCCAACAAATAACACCACCTCCGACAGCTGCCAGATTAAATAAAATTGCCACTCGTTTTTTTTTAAACAAATGTTTTAGGGGTAGAGCAGAGTAAGCTCTGAGTCAGATGAAATAAAGACAGGCCCTGAGAATGGAGCCTTTCAGGGCACTGCCAGACAAGCCAAATAATGATAGTTCTCTGGGGTTGGGGTTTTGGGGGAGCTCCAAACTCATTCTGCCCCCTCCAAGGGCCGTTATCCTGATGGTTTTCACATCTCCCATAGTTGAGAGGTGTTGGTTTTCATGACCGCCACAGAGCTGGGGAGAGAGGGATGAAATTAACCCAAGTTCTAACACCACAAAGCTCACTGTCTTACCAAGATTCTGCTGTTTTTCTTGAATAAATGCTCCTTGGAGTGTTACAAGCTTTTAGTTAATTTCTAAAATTATGAAAAAGTTCATTCTGACAATTTTTGCTAGTGTTCTCATTGCTTTTATGCAAGTTTTTGAAGTTCCTTATTCTGCCATTCTAGAAGTTAACTCCCCTCCTGGTGTAATTTGTTATTTTAAAACATGGACAATAGTCCTCCCTTATCTGTGGGGATATATTCCAAGTCTCCCAGCAGATACCTGAAACCGTGGATGATACTAAACCTGATCGCTGTCACTCAGGACACATTTCTGTTCATGTCCTCCATCCACAAATTTAATGCCTTTTCTGTCTTCCACTAAGCACCTGTTACACACTGTGGCTTTTGCAGTTCGGGGTGTGACAGCAAAACTAGCATAAATTTCTTTTTCCTTTTTCACAATTTACAAATAGAAGATTCATTCTTATCATAGATCTTAGCAACCTCAGTGTACAGTTTTCTTCCTTTCTTTATCACATCAAGAACTTTTACCTTTTCACTTAAAAGAAGCACTTTACAGCTTCTCTTTGGCATATCCGCATTGCCAGCATCGCTACTCTTGCACTTTGGGCCATTATGAAGTGAAATAGGGTGACCTGAACACAAGCACTGTGATACCTTGACAGTCGATCTAATGACCAGGACAGCTCCTGAGTGACGAAGGGTCAGTGGTGTCCACGGCGTGGATATGCTGGATAGGGACAGGGCAGGATGGTGGGAAATTTCAACACTCTACTCAGAATGGCACACAGTTTAAACTTATGAATTGTTTATTTCTGGAATTTTCATTCAGTATTTTCAGACCTCCTTTGACTGGGGGTAGCTGAAACCACAGAAAGCGAAGCCACAGGTAATGGGGGAGATGCCAGTGAGTGTGGAGTGCTAATTTCCAACATCCACGCTGCACCTCAGTGAATGAGCCTTCCTGGAAGTACTGAAAAATGAAACAAGATGTTTTTCAACAGACTAATTGCTCCAGCCCCTCGACTCCTGATCACCATCTCTTGTGTTTTCTCCTGCTGAGTCTAAACGCCGTAATCCTCCTGATTATTTGTAAAGCCACCCGTCTTTGCACCCACAGCCTTTTGTGGGCAGGATGGGAGATTGTGGGCTGAGAAGGGGTGATCGGCAGTGGAAGAGCTGGAGTAGGGAGGAGTTGCGGTAGAACCTGGGGTCTTTTGATTTCTAGTATTCTTCCAACATACAAACTATGACCTGTGTGATCTCAAGTATAATATTTGTTAGACAACATAATGGCTCCAGCTTTATTTAGTGTTATGATTTTGATTAAAAAATCTGTTTAAAAACCATGCAAAGATGTTTCCAACAGTAGCTATGATCTATATTGCTGCCTTTCACTAACTGCTCATTTTATATGCTTTTTAATCACAGAGTTTGGGGCAGTCAGGAAAGAGAAAGCCAAGTGAAAGACATTGTTAAAAACATTTCTTTGTAAATTATAATGATAACGTGAAAGTATGGCTTCAATCTGTCCTGGTATTTGAATAGGACAAGTGGCTACAAAGGAAAATTTACTTGTATCCCACAGGTGGCTGTTTACAAACATCCAGAACTGTGTGAGTTCTTCTTATTTTCTCACATCCCTCAAAACCCTGAGAAGAGGTTGCAGTATTCATGTCTTCTTACCTCTGGAGGGACTTTGGCATCTTCAGAGCGCCTTACAATTAGCCATTGATCTTCAATATGGTAGAGAAGGACAGGATGATAAATGTGAGAATTACTTGATTAACTTGGCTAAACTTACATAAAATATAAAGAAAACATCCTTTCATTATCACTTGACACTTAACCATCAAAATTTAAAACCCTTTTATATGAGGGAAGAAAAGTGACAGTTACACCAAACTCTTGGACAGTGGCCCTTTGGGCATAATTTAATGAGCACTGGTGTTCGGGTGTCTCTGCAGGGCTACGCTCACCTGGTCAGCAAAGGAAGCACAGATGGAGTCCTGAGCTAGAGATGCCATCCTTCCTGCTAAGTCCCCAGGTGGCTGCTTCCTTCTGCCCTGCGCTGTGGTGCTGGCCGGCCTGTCAAGGCCTTTTCATGCCAGAGAGGAAAGTCTGCATGCCCCGCTGCCGAGTGGCTGCTGATAACGTTCTGTCATACCTACTGTAGGAGCAGTTTACATGAGTCTTTGGCTATCTCACAAGTCCTTTATTCTTAATACACAGCCTCTTTCAAGCTCTTTTATTTTTTATTTTTTTAATTTTCATTTATTACTTATTTATTTTATTGTTTTAGAGATGGGAATCTTGCTGTGTCACCCAGGCTGGTCGCAAACTCCTGGGCTCAAGAGATCCTCCTGCCTCAGCCTCCCGGGTAACTGGGACTATAGCCATGGGCCACTGGGTCTGGCGATGGCAGCTCTTTTATTTTACCAAGATAAAAAGAAATGGATATTATTTATAAAATTGCAATCTTGAATTTAATCATTTGTCTTCAGGCTTCTTCCTTGAAAACTGAGCTAGTCAAGTGCAAAATTGTTTGAAGTTTATTTTTTATAGGGTTTGGGTGCATTATATAAAATATGAGGTTGCTTTAATTCAATAGGACAGATAGTAATGTCCTGAGTAAATTTCTTTTTCAAAACCTACTCAGAGGAAAGAAATAAATTTCTGTAAAGTAGACCATTAAAAATAGACTACTTTCGCTGAAATGTAAATAATAAAATCTTGGCAATGACAAGTCTGATTCGAGTCCCGTTGCACCTGCTACCTCTGTCCTCTCCAGGCTGTATTCAACTTCAAACTGACTCTGAACTGCTTTTCTTGACTCATTTGAGAAGCCCTTATTGAATATCTTATTCGGGACAGCATGATGGGCTCAACATTCATTTTTATGGACTGTAATCACTCTACCCAAAGCATAGTAATTTAAGAAATTGTGTTTTTCCCTCAGGACTTGGACTGCAATCTGATGAACTTCCCCATCAGATGAGCATGATGGATTGGCCAGAAATGAAGAAGAAGTTTGCAGATGTATTTGCAAAGAAGACAAAGGCAGAGTGGTGTCAAATCTTTGATGGCACAGATGCGTGTGTGACTCCAGTTCTGACCTTTGAAGAGGTTGTCCATCATGATCATAACAAGGAACGGGGCTCCTTTATCACTGGCGAGGAGCAGGACGTGAGCCCCCGCCCTGCACCTCTGCTATCCAACACCCCTGCCATCCCTTCTTCCAAAAGAGATCCTTTTGTGGGAGAACACAGCAAGGAGATACTTAAAGAATTTGGATTCAGCCAGGAAGAGATTGATCAGCTTAACTCAGATAAAATCATTGAAACTAATAAACCAAAAGCTAATCTCTAACTTCCAGGCCTGCACCTCAAATGAATTTGAATGCTGCATTTATGGTATAGAGCAGCACATAAAATTGTGTGCATGGAAACATGCAAGAGCAGAATCACAGTGCTCCAACTATTCTAATCAAGAAACAACTGAAGGCCGGGC